CCCCCGAACCTCGTGGCAGGTCCGGAACCCTCGGGCCTCCAAGGCACAGCATCTGGGTTGAGCGTGGTCATGTAGTGCTCGATGAAGACCAAAAGAAAGCCTCCAGCGATGAGGAGGATCCGTGCCTTGGCCGGGGACTTGGGACCCCGGTTAGCTCTCGTCCCTTCTGCTAAGACCTGGGAGGTCAATCTTGAAGTCCAGGATCTATGTCTTGAAGGTGAAGAGGAGACCTGGTAGTGCAGAAAGTCCAGGAAGTGGGTCAGGAAGAACCCAACAATGTTCAAGAAGTGGAGCGAAAAGTCCGCGCCCCCTCCTGTCTTGGTGTCCGTGTGGAAGGGATGACCGTCTTGGGATCCTGCAAAAAGCTGGGCGTAGGACCGGTACTGGAGGGACCCAAGAATCACGGTCAGGTCAAAGGCCAGGTTGACCATGAGCTGGGGCCTTCCGCACTAGCCCCCCCACCTTGGGGAGGTTGGGGGACCTGAGAGCTAATGGCCCTTTCGGGTGCCAGACAGGTGCGACAGGCAGCCTGTAGGTCCCACAGCAAGAACATCATCATCATCATCATCATCATGAAAGTGGTCACCTACCCAGTGGTTGGTCGATTTGGTTTAACTGACGAACTTCCGAAGCAAATCCCCCAAGTGCACGCCCCCGTCTCCCACACGGGCTTTCTCCTCGAGGGTGCCCGTCCGGCGCCGCCACCCGTCCGCGCCGTCCCGAACGAGGCCTCGACAAGGTGGTCATCGCCTGCGACGAGCGGATCGCAGCCAAAGCGGCGGGCTTGGACCAGCGGCCGCTCACCCGCCGCAGCTTGGACCGGCGGTGCCGGAGGGGGGTGAGGAGAAGGAGGTGGTACGAGACGGGGCGGGATGTAGGGGTGGGGGGAAGTGTTGAGTAATTCCAAGGTATTGCGCTGGTCACCTACCTTGCCAAGCAGGTTTTTTGAGATGAAGAATTAGGTTGCTCTAAGTGTTGCAGAGACTTGGATGACCGAGGATGCAAAGACCCCCCTCTGAAAAAGACGTGAGGACGATCGATGCAGTTCAGAGAGAGAGAGAGGGGGAGAGGACTGCGGAGGCTTGGAGACTGCAACGGCCACCCTGAACCGAATGACCAATGACCAATGACCGAAAATATTCAGCAACCAAAGCCTACACCAGCACTGTGGGAGTCCCCATGTTGGCCGTGATTTGCAGTAGATCCCTCAGAAGGTGTCAAGTGGTTGAGGATTTTGTCTGGAATGGGATTCGCCCGCAAGCCGTGGCACCACAAGGTTTTTGTGTCAAGCTCCTTGCAGCTTCATGCCTTTGATTAGTCCAGATAACATGTTTCGCACAAGACTGACAGGAATGTCCAGCTTATTGCTGTAGGCTGCCTGGACATCGCAACTCAGGAGAGATCACAAAGCATTGCGAAGCCTTTGGAATTGATGAGGACTCCCGAACGACGGAGCGACCCTGCGAATCGATCGTCCCCAAGAGTTTGGGGCGAGTTTGGGGCGAGTTTGGGGAGAAAGGTAGAGATGCTAGGGTTGGAACTCTTGAGGGTACATCAAGGCAAGGAGCAGAGCTTGTGAGTGTTCCCCTCTTGAGCGAAGAGACTGCAAGTTGAAGATCTGGAAGCTTTGCGGCTTTGGTCACAGGTGTCCTTGATGTGTCCATGCACCGTCATAGACCAGAATGTCAGGCAATCCACAATGTTGTTGAGTCTCCGTGTTTGGAACTAGATGGATAAGATCAAAGCCCATACCTCCATTTCGCCACAAGGATAGTTTGTCAGTACCTCCGAATCCGTGAGTCGTGGCATTTGGAGCCCGAATTCGTGACATCCACAAATGTGGCACCAGCCTTACGGATCAACCTGCAGTGAAAAACAACCCTGCTGCTTGGGCACTGGCAAAGTTTGCATGTGGACTATATCGATTGTAGGACGCCCTTCATGCTATGCTATGAACATTCAGCCCTGGCATACAGGATGGTTTCTTGGAAGACTGCCTTCCTTTCCCGACAGAACATATTTCAGGTTACTGTAAGTCCATTGATGGATGGATGGAATGGAATGGAATAGAATGGATGGGATGGATGGGATGGATGGGATGGGATTGGATGGGATGGGATGGGATGGGATGGGAGGGATGGGATGGATGGGATGGATGGAATGGATGGGATGGATGGGATGGATGGGCTGGATGGGCTGGGATGGGATGGGATGGGATGGGATGGGATGGGATGGGATGGATGAATGAATGAATGAATGAAAAAAGAACGACATAACGAAATATAGATAGACAGATAGATAGATAGATAGATCGATCGATCGATCGATCGATCGATAGAGAGAGAGAGAGATAAAGAGATAGATAAAGAGATAGATAAAGATGCCCCCCGGTTTAGCAAGTGTCATAGTCGAATATGATCAAGGAGCCATGCAAGAGGACAACCAGCCTCGACGGGTTTATGCATCATTTTCGATGTGAAGAAGATGATCAGTTGAGGAACGAATTCAGGTCCAAAAGAAGAAGACTTAAGATTTGAGCCCACAGAGGCCACTGAGTGGGTTTGAGCCTTTGCAGGGTAACTTGAGCCGTTTTTTGTCACTTTGTGGTGACGACGCAGGAGATGTGCTGCAACCAGCAGATCCGCGGCTTCTCTGCGGGTCAGAAGGCTCTCGGGCTCTCGGGGGGGTTGGGGTTTCCAAAAGGTGTTGGAATGTATTGGAATTCAACTCACTGGAACCCCAAGGCAGGAAGGAATCAATTAAAAGGAGGGAAGGGATGGGAAGGGTGTAAGTCGCGTGTCAGCACGGAAGGATGGAAGACTGACAGAAGCGAGGTCTTGCGGTTTCTCTTGAGGTGCCCTGATCCAATCAGAAGTGCATCCAGCTTGATCAGGGATGTTAGAGCTGATTCTTGATGCTCGAATGGATGACTGGATGACTCTCCTTCGGTCAACCGTCGATGTCTAGAGACACCCATTCTTGGGCAATGTGGATCTCAAAAGTCGGGAATCGATCTGACAGACGGAAGCGAAACGACATGTTGGAAAGGTGGCGAAAAAACTTGAGTTGAAAAAAATTGAAAGGGTGGCTTAGGTGTCCCTGGAGTCCAAGGCCTCACAAGGAAAGACCGGAAAGCCGCAAGACATATATATATATACATGTATATATATATACATATATATACATATATATATATACATATATATATATATTTAGTATAAAGAGTTGCAGAATGCTGCAGATACCTTGAGTAAACGCTTTGCTGCTGGCCAGGTGAGACTCTCTTTGGCCGCTATGCCACTTTGCTTTGTGAAAACATATGTAAATAGAGGGGTCGGCTTGCCAAGGGCCCTCAGTGAGCTCAGGGTCTATTGGTCAAAATGGCAGACAAGCTTGTCATACTTCGAAAGTCTTCTAGCGATCCAAAAGTGGCCCACTCAAGCTATGGGCTTCGGCATTGTAGCATCAGCTTTAGAGTTGAGACGGTAGACCCGTATGGTAGGGAAGAAAACAACTTCCAAAGCTGACTCCATTCTGGATTGGGTTTTCAAATTCAAGATTCTTTCTACAGAAGGTGAGTTCATCCATTCCCCACAGCATGTCAGTTGTTCAGCCGGCACTCCCGAATTTCGGCAGAAAACGGATGGCTTTCCTGCTGAAACCGCCACCTGGTCACTCCGTACGCAGTACTGGACGAGCCTGGTCACTCCTCCAGCCTCAGGTTCTGGACAAAGCCTCATTTCATCGCGGTTGACGAGCCCACCAACTACTTGGATGTGGAGACTGTTGAGGCCTTAGCCAAGGCCAGGCCTGGCAGCAGTGGGCAGTTCTCCCGCCGCGCAGCAGCCGCGGGCTCTGGGAGTAGTTACCGAGTACTGCATTTTGATGACACCATAACACGGGTGGAATGGGTTGGACAGTTGCTTGTTCCCCAGGAATGAAAACGGTGTAGAGGTTTCAGCCATTTCTTCTGAATTCACCATAGAACCATGTAGAACCCTTCATTGGTACACCAATGTTTGACACGTTCAGTCTTGTGCTGGGTCTCTGCAGTGGTGTTTTACACGATGGCTTCCAGGTCAGTGTTGCTCATTCCTTGCCTTTTCCTCGCCTTGGTTCATGACAGGCTCTGAACAACTTCCGGGGAGGCGAGCAACCCGAGCTGAAATCAGAATGCCTTGGAACGCCAGACCTTTTGCATGTGAAGTGATGTGTCATTTTGGTTTCGCATGTGAAGTTGGTCGAAATCATCGTTGCAGTATGTGTCTTTGCACTCCCATACCCATTATATAGGGAGATCCTGAAATCTTTAAGTCTTTTTCAACAAAAAGAGGAAGCCCGGCCCAGCTGTCTGCTTCGTTCCCTCACTGGTGCTGGTGTCCCCGGTGTGCTTTGTGTAGGCATCCTGATGATTGAGCCCAAGATGGATTTCGTTGAGAAGGTGAGAGCTGGGAGAGTCCAAAGTCAACCCGTTGGGCGGACCCCAGTAGAGTTGAAGGCTGTTACTGTATATAGAAGTAGATGACCTGGACAAGAAGAGCACCTGTTTTCACACCCCGCCACCTTGCCAGCCAAATCTCATCATTGGAGGTCCAAAATTGGAGTTTGTCTCGTGGCCATGACATGCAGGCACCAGCAGTGAGCAATTGCTGCAGGTGCACCAAGTCTTTGACCTGTTCATGCAACGAAGTCATGTACCTATGCACATCTCCCGATGCTGGTTTCAGACACCACTTCCAGCCATTCTGAGCTCAAAACTTGGTGCGTTGTAGCGTCAGAAAACAGGTCGGCGCACCCTGCTCGCTTCCATTCAGAACTGCACGGAATCAGAGTTTCAATCGGATTGTTGTTGGACAGTTTCGAAATCATTTTGGGGGATTCACTCTTTCTCTGTTTGAGGGGCACTTCTGCACTTGGTCTTTCCACCTCTTCATGGTGGTCAGGACGGCTTCCGAATATGCGATGAACATGCGATCCAATTTTAGGGTCGAACTCACATACGAGTATTCAGAGGTGTCTTTCTCAGTGTAGTTTAAGTCTGTGAAAAACAGACTGTATAAGTGCTGCCCTCCCTACACATTCGTGGCTCTACCCCGTCATGCCCCCACGACACCGGCTACGGTGGCACCGTGGGAGGTTTGCAACGAAACTTGGACTATGGAAGATGGAAAGATCACAGTGCAGCCGCTTGGACAGAATTGGGTGTCTCGCAATAGGAGGACGTTCGATGCAAGACGCCGATATTCATCGATATTCCATGAACCGTGTGGACAGGCGACTTGGAAATACATTCGTGTATGGGCATGGGGACGCCAAACGAGGACAAGCAGCTGGGGAAGTTCACCTGAAGAAATGTATCGGCTTCTTGTTACTAGAAGTAATGGCCTCCAACCTACTAGCGATGGCCTCCAACATAGTAATGGCCTCC